CAAACCTGTTTTTTCATGGTTATATTTGGATATCATTGAATCCACCCACCAATCCTATTTCTTAGTGCAACATGCTACAAAGCTTTTTAGGTTCAAATTTTGAATACCCAACCACAAAGTCAATGTTTACACCTTTAGGTTTGGTCAGAATCTATAAGATATGCTTTTTATTTACCATATGTTCATTAGTCGAGTTAACCGTTTTTTTGTTTTGCCTTTTTCTAATTAATATCTAGAGTTATATAAATTCTTGGACCCACCCACGAATCCTTGGATTCTTATGACCTAATATTTAATCCTTTTACATATTTATTTGATATATCATAATCCATGAAGATTGGTATTTTGTTTGTTATTATAGGGAGATCCTATTGATTGGGTGAGTACACATCGATACCATCATCAGTTTACGGATTCGGATCGGGACCCACATAGTCCTAATGAAGGTTTTTGGTTTAGTCATCTCCTATGGCTATTTGATACCGGTTATCTGGTTGAAAAGGTAGTTAACTATTGGTTATATATAACTAGATTAATATACCTTTCGGAAAAAACTAGATTAGTATACTTTTAACACACAATTCAAATTTTAATGATACTGTAATGGCACAGTGTGGAAGAAGAACAAATGTGGATGACTTAAAGAGGCAGTGGTACTATAAATTCCTTCAAAGAACAGTCATGTACCACATTCTAGCATTTGGTATCCTCCTCTATTACTTTGGTGGTTTGTCTTATCTCACTTGGGGAATGGTAAGATTTACTCTCTTGTTTTTTTTTTTTGCCTTTTATTTTCTAATACACTTTTTTTTATAACTATTTTCTGATACACTTGCAAAATAAAATAAATAACAATCTTCAAAATTACATATATACCTATCCTGCTTGTCTGTCAAATAGTAAATGATAAATAAATATTGGTGGATGTAGGGTATTGGTGTAGCAATGGAGCATCATGTGACTTGCTTCATCAACTCTATTTGCCATATTTGGGGAAGCCGAACTTGGAAGACCAACGACACTTCTCGTAACGTTTGGTACGTACAAATGTTTGATCATTGACATATTAATGTGATAATATGCGCAACATTTGATAAGTCGAATTCTTCAATTGCAAATTTCGAGTAAAAAGAGATTTCAACTTCTATTTTAATAGAGATAACCTTTTTTAACTGCAAAACTAAGTACTTTAAATTTGATGCTTGAGTTGGTGAAATGAAAGGTGCCCCAACCAACTACTTCTAGATTTTGAAGGTCGATGAATATTAAATTTTGACACATTCTCCAAGAAAAAACGCTCGATGTTAAAACAGTTTCACTTGACTAAGCACGAAAAAATATATATCATTGTCATCGGATATATACGGATGAATACAAATTCGTCTGAAATGGAAATTTAATTGGACCAACTCCAAAGCCATTCACTTCACCAATCCAAACCCGACACATTTATATAGATCCTTTGATTGTGTTTTTTATACTGGTCCATTTACAACTACATAAAATAGTTAATTTTACTTTCACACAAAAATAAATTATTAGAAAATTTCTTGTTTGCATTTATAAAATATTTTTTCATTAAATAATTTAAATTTTATGGAGGGATGTAAAACGGAGAAAATGATAAATAAATTAATCTAAATATATGAACAGATGTGGGCATGCATGTGGGAGTGCATGTATATATGTGTTTTCGTGTTTTGTGAGTCATATGCATATATTTATGATTTTTAATCCGCATGAATTCATTAATAATATACCTAAGTGGTTTGAAAAATTGGTATAGGTGGTTATCAGTATTCTCATTTGGAGAGAGCTGGCACAACAATCACCATGCGTTCGAGTCATCGGCGAGACAAGGCTTGGAGTGGTGGCAAATCGACATATCTTGGTACATCGTTCGGTTTCTCGAGATTATCGGCTTAGCTACTGATGTCAAGTTGCCTTCAGAGAGTCAGCGACGTCGTATGGCTTTAGTTCGTTGAAGATGGAAGGATATATTATTTATATACTCGACTTCCCCTCGCTTAATTAAGTATTACTTAGTGTCTACGTACGTACGTTTTAAGTTTAGGTAAACGTATCATTTGAAAAATTGTGATGTGATGTGATGTTAAGTTCAAAAAAAAAAAAAAATTGTGATGTGTGTGGCATTGTCTTGTGGTGGTGTGTGTTAGAACCAAACTTGCTTAATTAAGATACGTTAGTCGTTTTCGTATGAACGAACTTTATATGCGTAACGAAGTTAAGCACGGTCCATTTCACATTTCGTAAATGTATTATTGGATTATCGTGATACATAATATACTATCTTGCGGTAGCTAATTATTATTGGAGAACATGCAAGAAACCCAAATTAATTAAGTAGCAAGAAAAGCAAAAAAGCGGATTGCAAGAAGATATGTGAATTAATATAGAAAACGAAGAAGAAGAAGATATATGACCGTTACATATTCCTTGCTTTTTATACGGACCGCTACAAATATTTCATATATATTATTTGGAAACGCCAACCAAATTAAGTAAAAACAGATTTTTTGATTATTAGTGATGTTGACCTTAATATATATGACTACAATTATAATTGATTAGAAACTGATCATAAAAAAATACGAACACTAAAGTAAAACCATGTTTTTAATATAGATGATGTTGAAATTGT